GTTACATATTTGATTTGATTGCTTTGGGTATATTGCACTAAAAATGAGTCTTTAACAGTGGGACTTTCAGCTCTGGGATGACACTATACAACATCCATACTACAAGGCTGCCCGTTGAAGAACCAGGTTTTTTGGGGGGGGGAGGGGCATTTTGCAGTGACTTTAATAACGAGTTTTTTTTGTTTTGGTGCACAATAAAAGACACTGTCACTCCAGCATTAAGCTATAAAAATGGTGGAGGGAATCTGCCTGAAGCTGGAAAAAGGAATTTTCTGGCAATAGTGTGTCTACAGTACTGTAATGTTTGTTTCTTGAGCTTGGAACAAAGCTGGTCGGAAAATTTGCTCTGGAAAAACCACACCATATGTAACAAGAGGAGAATTATATAAAGTGCTCTCTATAGGAGCATTAAGGGGTCAGAAGGGCTACGACATAATTGACAGGTTTCACAAAGGGCACCTCCTCACCTTGGGCTAATCGTTCCGTGAGCAAGAGGTTCAGTGTAAATCTTAAGCTGCCTTCCGTTGCTTATTTTAGATGCTCCGGATTTGGTTGTGCGGCCGATGATTTAAAATGGATCTCGGGGAATTAAGATGATTCCCCCACCCCCTTCGGAAGTTCTTACACATCCTAAAAAAAACAAAAACCAGCCTTGCTTTCTTGCAAAGCAGAGAAAGAAACTCCGCCTCTGTGCTTCACTTTAAAAATAAATAATTTGAATTTCAGCAGAAGCTAGATGTAGAAAGCTTTAACCAGTCGACATGGCCTAGAGCCAGCCAGCTCTTAGGGCCGGTCTCCGGAGCTGCAGGCCACTGCCACGGGCCAGCCAACCCTCTGCGCAGGCCCTGCGGCTCCAAGCAAGGACCATGGACCGTTGACACCTTTGCAGAGTTCCCAGTTAAAGAAATGGTGGAAGCTGAACCCTGATTGTGATCTCAAAATCATCTACTCCTTTCGTTCAATCAGAGTCCGTTGATTCATCCTTTTATATCTATCTACCTTTGCAATATAGCGACATGGTAGCTCAATGGCAAAGACGCTGAGCTTGTCAATCAGAAAGTTCAGCAGTTCGAATCCCTAGTGCCACATAAGGGAGTGAGCTCCCGTGACTTGTCCCAGCTTCTGCCAACCTAGCAGTTTGAAAGCACGTTAAAAAAAAATGCGAGTAGAAAAATAGGAACCACCTTTGGTGGGAAGGTAGCAGCGTTCAGTGCGCCTTCAAAGTTGAGTCATGCCGGCCACATGACCATGGAGATGTCTTCAGACAGCGCTGGCTCTTCTGCTTTGAAACGGAGATGAGCACCGCCCCCTAGAGTCGGGAATGACTAGCATATATGTGCGAAGGGAACCTTTACTTTTTTCCCTTTGTAGACAGCATACTTCAGTTCTTCTGCTCAGTGCCCCTTTGGTTATTTAATTACATTAAATTAAATTACAAGGGCTGACAAAGAACCAAGCGAAGTCTTGATGGTGTTTTCCAAGCAAAGTTGTTTTCCTTCCTTCCGCTTTGTTAACCTGGTGCACTGTAGCAATTATTTAATTTGGGGTTTTTTTTGGTAAAGGGATGTGTATTTGTGCT